ACTTGTAATTAATTTGAGGCGGATAATAACAACCTTTATTAATAACCAATTCTCCACATTGAAAAGATAATAGAGAAGTAAACACAAAAGGAAAGGTGAAGGGTTTAAGGTTAAACCTACAACATTGATCTCAAGATGTTGTAATTTCACTTAAAGTGACCGGATGTATTGATCCATTTATACTCTTCAGTTAATATGTCACCTGCCATCTGGCTGTGTTGTACATCAGCGTTTAACGACACAACACAGTTCAGGGGAGTGTGAGCTTTAAAAGCCTCCCTTTCTGAATTTGGTGTAGCTCCAGTAATATTACTTCATCCTGTGATCCTTTCTTCATTGTGCCACTGCACAGATTCCTGGTTATCCATCTCTAAGCCTTCCACCTCATTTTTATCCTCTCTGAAAGGTAACTCTTTGTACGTGATTGAACTATGTTAATTCAAACTTCTTTTTTTCTTTTTGCATAATAGTCCTTTTATCTTCCCGCTTCACGGTGAAAGTTCGCTCTTCTGTTGAGTTTGTTGTTAATATATTATGATCTCACATTGTTTAATATTGCATTATTCTCTCATTTTCAACAATATATACAGTAACTGAGAATTTCCATGATTATTGTTCATATGAAACTAGTTTATTATACAGTAATACATAGTGTAGTAGTGAGGGTTTCTGCATTTTCTTCTCAATATTGAAATGGACTCCTGTTCTGTTTTCTCCTCTCATCTTTTCAACCGTGCATTTACATCTTTTCTGTCTCACCATCTTGGCAGTGACTTTCTTCCTGCTCTTTGATCCTTCCTCTTTATAACTGTCAGCTGGCTAAGTATCATGTGTAGTTCAATAGGATGATTTGTTGTCAGCGAGTCATCTGTCACCAAAAGCTAAATGATGAAATGAGTGTGAGCAGCACTGTCTTGTCTGTAATGAATTATGCAGTGGGTCAGGGGCCTCTGTTTTGGTTACAGTCGACAGCACAAACATGGACCTCAGGTAGTACACTCATCAGTCCTGCTGTTTCTCACCATATGGAGTCAATGAACTGGGACACCCCTCCTACACACACACAGGCTCACATGCACTTGCAGACACAATTTCATAGTCATACAGTAGATAGATGGACATACAGTAGATAGATGGACAGATGTGTTGACTTTTAAAAAAATATTTTTCAAAACACTGTTATTATATTGATAATAACAGTGATAAAAACAGTAAAACTATCAGTTATATGTCTAGGGTGTGATTACTTCAGGCACATAGAATTATATAAGATAATCAACCATAACAGAATAACCAAGAAAGACAGACTCCAGAGCCTGTCCCCATCTGATGGTCACAGAGTGAAACTGCTGCCTCTAATTGTTAATGCTGCTGAAAAAAAGTATAGAAAAAGTAGTCCAAAAATAAAATAAAGTTGTATCATTTCTGTATTTTTTTTTTTTTTAAAGAAAACAAATTGGACCTATAGTGGTCAATATTTGTACCTTTTCTTTCACATCTTTCAGTGTTTAATTGGATGAACCAGTTCACAGACAAATTGAATTAGAAGTTCCCGCCTCTGAACAATTGAGATATCTGTTACAGATGATGTTCCATATAATGAATGCCTAATTTATGTAATTAGACCATTAAGCATAATCCGAGCATATGTTGTGAATGCCCTGAGGTCTTCTTCCAGGTACTCCCTCTGAAGTCACCCAGAAACAGCTAATGGAGCGGGCTGCTGCAGCTCCTGGACCATAATCTCCTAATTTGATAGAATAAATGAAAACAGATATTCACCATATTATGATGTGTTAGATATGTGAACATACAGGGTTTTATTCTGATTTCCATTTCCGGGCAAAAAATCATATTCACTGGGGAAGAATATGAAGATGGCCTTTAAGTAGTGTGAATATCCCGTCATATTGGTTAAATTTGTTGTAGTGAGAGCCCTCTGTCTGCTAATTAATTGTCATTCTGCTGAATATTCATACCTTATCATCAGCGCGTCCTTAATTGCACCATAAAACATCTCTGGGGGCTGAAACCACCACGGACTTAATTAGTAGCACAGGCCTATTGGTTGGGTTGGAGAGTCACAGTTTGCAACAAACTATACCTGCTTTCAGTGAACGTGTGTTTACCATCAGAGGACAGGTAAATGCCAGATCTCTTTAAATCTGCAGGGCTGCTCATGAAAATCTGCGTGGCAGACACTGAAACAGCTCAGAAATAGAAAATTCACAAATTAATTCATGGGATTACAAATATTTGTCTTAAAATGCGAATTTGTTCACCTCTAGCGATGGCTGGTCTATTTATAGGTTGATTAGTGGCCTAAATATACATTGCTGGCAGTCAGAGCTTCCAATAGACTATATAGCAACTGCCTGCTCTGTGGAACCCGGAAAAGTAAAGTTTAAAAACTGTAAATGACAACTTGAAATCCACTCAGAAAAATGAGCATACAATGATTTTTGACTTCCACAACTGTAACCTAGATTTAACAAATTTTAAATCTTAAATAAAAGTCGTAATCCAGTTCAAATGTGTGTTATTTGTTAATCAATCTTCATTTCCAAAGTTGCACTCACCCCTTGAATACATGTTTTCATAAGCCTTGCCCTCAGCTTTAAGTTTCTCTTAATCGTTCCCTGAAAGGCAGATTTTTCCCTCTCCGTGTCTGGGTGGCAGCATATCTCAACTCGATTCAGTGTGACAATATTGTTTGGCTATCATTCGCTGCTTTAGGATGAATGGCATCGATCCTCTTTTAACAACATTTGTTTCCTATTGTGCTCGGGGGGTGCAGCAGAGGAGGGCAGACGTGTGAAAGTGGCTGTTTGATTCTCTTTTTCATCCCCATGACCTCAGCTTTTGTGTCTCGTCACCCTGGGAATGTCACGCCTCACTACTCTACTTTAAGATGTTTCAGAAAGTGCCCTTTGTTTTCGCTCCTCTTTTTTTTTAAAGCTCACACAAAATTGTTCTTGGTCCCGTCCTGCTCTAAAGGATACTTCAGGCTGAGGCACGGTTCACAAGTGCAATGCAATTTGGCTTATCCCGACCTTTGTTCGGGTTTCTACAAATGACCAAAAATAGTGCAGACTTGATCTACTGCTGCTTGAACTCAGGAGTTTGGGAGCAACTAAAAACCCTATTCAGATTCAGAGTCATGGTGGTATTTTCAGTGTGTGCATTGGACAGGGACAAAAGGCCTACCAATATCCCATAACCCCGAAGCTCAAAAAGCCACACCGTCTGTGCGTGAGAGGAGGAAAAAAAAAACTCGTACTACTCGGCTGGTTAATACACGAGTGTTGCCAGGCGTGTTGCAGGTTAACTTAAACGTATGATAGCAAGTTTGCAGTGCAAACACGAACAAATAAAACTGACAAAGACAAACCATTACAAGTTGAAAATGTAAAATAAAAAAAATCATGCGTAAAAATTCTGCGTGATATCCAATGATTTGCAGATCTCAGTGTTTTAATGCTATTTCAATAGCTGATATTAGTGACATTTAACAAATATTGCACGTAAAATTACAATTATCAGTTACAAAAAAATGCTTTGGACACGGACATATTAATCTGAGTCAAACCCAACAATATAATCTTTTTAAATGAATAAATGAATGAATGAGTGATTGAATAGGCTGGATGTCAGAAGATGTTTGATATTTGGCAGTTTGTTGGGCCACTTCCTTTTCACATGAACATTAATGGGAAACGACAGGTGTTAAAAGGAACTCAGGAAAAAATCTGCATGCTGAAAGTTTTAGACGACTTGTTCCAATTTAAATATTTTATAAAATAACCTAATATATAAAATTATGGCATATAGCACATTTGCTATAATTAAATAATTTCTATGGGAAAGCATTTTTCCCTTTTTGGTGTTGAGTCCTGGTTTTATATTATTAAACAGTCCTTCCAGCAGGGAAGACACTCTTCTTCAGCCAGCTCCTGGTTTCTGAGTGAAAAAGGCACGGTGTCCCCCGCAATGCGATTCTATTCGTAATCCGTCAGACTGGTGATGGGGTGCATTGTGGATTTATGGGGGGAAATTAGCATAAATTATGAGCAAATCTGTGCGTGCGTGTGTGTGGTCCTTGGCATTGCAAACCCTCCAAGCGGAAAGGTGGCCCTGGCCAAAAGCTTGAATGGCGATAGCTCAAAATAGGCTTCCCATTTGGTTTTCACATTCATATAATTGACTTATGGATATTTTATACAGTTTTCACCACACCATCCTCAAGGGTTTATTTGCATTTCTGAAGTACTTTTGAAATCTTCTTTACATAAACACAATAGACCTGATTGCCTCATGAAGTTTCAGTTTGAACAGCGTTGTTTGCATTGTGTTGATGTTTTCATATCGTCTACTTCCTTTGCTCAGCTCTGGGCGAAATTAGCTGAGAAAAACTAACAGTGGGCTCATCAATAAACTTGCTCTTGGCAAATAATTATGCATGTACCTATGGCATTTCGCAAACAATATTAGACCATAATAAGAAATAAAAGCTAAATGCTTTCCCGCAACATTTTATCTTTAAAATCAGCTGTTTTCACTCAAATGCGCATCATAAAACACGTTAGCAGCTTTTATAAAATACGGTATGGAAGACATTTTTTGACAGCTGTAGCTACTCATCTCACATTTTTTAATAAAATCCATGTTACAATACACATCTGCCTTAACAACAGCACACATCGTTAAAAGACATTTTTATGACACACTCCATATATATACACATGAATTGTAAAGTCCGCTGAAGAAGTATTAGCGCATACCTTCACACACTGAGTGCCATCGCAGTTCAATTCCGGTTGCCAAGCCTTTTCACCCCTTTTTCTGTCTTCAAATGGAAATGATTTCCATTGGCCCAAGGTGTCCATGTAAATAGGTGTAAATGAAACCAGATTATGCCTTCCTCCCAGCCCCCTCCTCCCATGGCAATTGTCATGTGATAGCAAAGAGGTGGCACATTAATGGAGCGCCTCTACAGGGGTCTTTTCTGCTCATGTCACTACATAAAACTATCAGATGGTTAGAGGAAGGCCATGGAGGCATCCACTTAGCTCGTCTTATCAAGGACGCCAAATGAAGTCAGTTCAGCTCTGCTAGCGGGACAAGCTGACTTACTTTGCAAGAAAGACTTACAGCAGCCCTCTCTCCATAAATGTACACCGGCCGCCCGTCTGCACACCGCAGAGGCGCGCAAACTGGCTGTTTTACACTCAACGCCGCTCCAGCGTTGCCTGCTTTGAAACTTTCCTCGGCGGTTGTTTTCATGAAGAGCGGCAAGCAGTCGCCAAGGAACTAAGTGAGACTACTTTTTATTGCTTTTCTAACAAATATCGAGGATGCCTCGTCCGGGGAGAAACACGTACAGCGACCAGAAGCCACCTTACTCCTACATCTCTCTCACCGCCATGGCGATCCAGAGCTGCCCAGAGAAGATGCTGCCTCTCAGTGAAATTTACAAGTTCATCATGGATAGATTCCCTTATTATAGAGAAAACACTCAGCGGTGGCAAAACTCTCTGCGACACAACCTGTCCTTCAACGACTGTTTCATTAAAATCCCCCGGCGCCCAGATCAACCAGGTAAGGGCAGTTTCTGGGCTCTGCACCCCAGCTGCGGGGACATGTTTGAGAATGGGAGTTTCTTGAGACGCCGCAAAAGGTTCAAAGTGTTGACTACATCCGATCACTTGGCTCCCAGTAAGCAGTCGGATGCTGCTCATTACCTCCAGCAGCAAGCCAAACTGAGACTGAGCGCACTGGCAGCCACTGGCACACACCTTCCCCAAATGTCAACGTACAACCTCGGAGTCTCTCAGACATCAACTTTTAAGCATCCGTTTGCCATCGAGAACATCATTGCCAGAGAGTATAAGGTCCCGGGAAGTCTAGCGTTCTCCACCATGCAGTCCATGTCTGCCGGGTACCCGCTCCACAACCAGCTGACGACAGCCTGGCCTCACATGTACAACACCAGCGTGATTGACACGGCGGCCCCAATCTCCATGGCAAGCAGCGACTACAGTGCCTATGGCGTGCCCATCAAGTCCCTGTGTCACGGGGGACAGTCCTTACCGGCTATTCCCGTGCCAATCAAGCCCACCCCGACCTCCATGTCCGGTTTCTCGGCTTTACCTCCGCACATCCCCGCGTTTCTATCAAACTCTCCACAGTCTCTGAGCCCGACGTCCCCACAGACAGCGACGAGCCAAAGCAGCCCCGCAACCCCGAGCGAGACTCTGACGAGCCCCTCCACACTGCAGTCTGTGGCTGTGCACTGACCAGCTGAACTTTCCCAGTAAAACGAACTGCTAGTCGGCTCCCTGGCCCCGTTACCGATCCCAAAGTTTATATTTTCTGTCGTCGGAAACTATCAAGGCGAGTTGCAGTTGCATATCGATTTATTTGTGTATGTGTTGAATGTGTCGCTTTAAATTGTGTCATAGAAGTCCAGCACAGAGTCGCACAGCGAAGTATTGCTCTTGAAAATATAAATTATTTGATAGTTCTATTTTTCAGTTTATTGTGAAATGTGAGTGTTGAAAGAGGAGCCACTGAGGGGATCCAGGGGGGGAGTTTGTTTTGGCACCATCGACTCTGATTTTAAGTGCTTGCGATTCTCGTGGCAGTTTTTCAGTTTTATCAAATAGCAAAACTTTTGCACCGTTTCTGTGTGACCACTATAATGTCTACGAAATTGCGAGTCAATGGCTCTGTGTTTTTGTTTGCTTTTAATACTGGAATGATGGGTATGGGTATACCAAATAGGAATAGAATTTAGATTTGCTCTTGCCATCCCTGTAAAAAAAAAACAAGAAAAAAAAAGAAAGCAATCTGAGTTATGAAATCTTTTCAAAATGGAAAAGTAGTATTGTGAGACGTCCTCAAAATGCAAGATGTGAATATTGCAAATAACTGATACTGAACTGTTGTAAAATGCACTTTTTAGTTTTATGTTTTAGATATCTATTTTCCAGAAAATGTTCTGTGAAGCATTTAATTTAAAAGGCTGTGGTGACCATGTGTATCAGATGCTGTAAATTTGTACAATTTTTTTGAGGGGGGTGAAGCATGCATTCTAAACATTTGTGTTGTTACTGTTGTTGTTACTGTTGTTGTTTTGTTTGTGTTTGTTTATTTTTTTGCAAGCATGCGTGCTTTTGAAAAAGTGTGCAAACAGTCTGCAATGAATTGGAAAAAATGGTCATCGAAATATTTTCTCATTAAAAGTGAAGTAAACAATCAAAAATGTTTCTGAAGATTTCATGTAACAACATGTCACCTATTATTATTATTATTATTATTATTATTATTATTATTATTATTATTATTATTATTATTAATTTACGTCTCAGATAACAGACTTTTTATTCAATTGGTATAACACAGCCTATTTTCAAATCACTCTTGAATTTTTCATATAACGATACAAACATTAATAATAATTTAATTTGTCTTCTATCCAGACCTGTATGATTTGAGTGTGAGAGTTGCAGAGAAGCAGTAGGGAGAGAAATGAATCCTGCAGTCGATTAGGATGCATGGAGTTGCGATACCATAGTCACAGCGCAGACAACTGGGCTCATTCATCAAGCTGTTTGGCTAAACACAATTAAGCCCGACAATAAACATGTAGAAAAGCGGCACACAGTGTCCGAATAAACATTGTTACATGTTTTCAAATTCCAATCTCGCAGAGGGCAATTGTGTCACGTTGAGTGCAACTGTTTCGACTGTATTTCCTATTTGCGGGAACTTTATTCAACAGGTTTTATAAATAGCCTGCAGACGGAGAAACATCTGCAAAAATTGCAACATATATTTTTGATTATTTTATTCAATTTGTTCTCAGAATGGATGGAATAAAAAAATTAATAACGCGCAGGATCTGCCTCCCCTACAGAAAGCAACAGCTTATTTCTGGGTATTAAACAAATACATTAGAATTCCGTCACTTTATGCAATAGAGTAGATCAAATAAAGGGTCTCGGGCCACTTCATTCTCCCTCATTCACTTGAATTGAAAGTGCAAAGAATAGCAAACTTAGACTGGGCCACCAATGTAGATTTAGCCTTTTTTTCAGCAAGACAAAAAGACTGATTTTTCACAAACACATTGCTGACTGGGGAACTAGGAAACGAGCTGCAAGACCCTTTTGGAATTTAAATCCACCCCTCCCCCATGGTCTGTTTGGACAACAGTGTTAGTTTTTTTCCCTCCCCACTTTGTGCATTTGTGTGGGTAACATTAATTCTGACTCTGGATGATTAAATGTATTCAAACTGCCATGCCAGATTTCAAGCTTAAATTTCTAATCAGATTTTATTTTTTTCTGTCTGGTCATTACAATGACATTAAATTTGCATAAACAAATATTTGAAAATTTGTTATTAAGCAAATTAAAGAAATTAAATCCAGCAACATGTGTCACACAAGTGGGGATATTTACAACACATTTAAACATGTTTTTCTATTCATTTAGATTTCAGTGTACTTAACTTTGTCTTATTTGGTATGTATTGCACTGTTACAAGTAAAATGTTTATGTAATACATGTATAGATGAATGTTTTGGAATGTCTTTTGTGAAAAAGAAGTCATTCACTGTAAAGTCACCCCAGAATGTGAAATGTAAAAATAACCAAACGTTTGCATTTGATATATTATAAAGCAGAAATGCACTATTGAAATGGTATATTGCATTTGCAAATCAACATCCTGACCTCCTACTGACCGTGTTTTAACACACTATGCATGGGGCTCACATTCCATGTGAATTACGGAAATGTTGTACACCAATGAAGTCCATCTAGAAACACAAAATCAGGGCGTTGTTCGGCAGGCACTCAATTCCATAAATTAACACCTTCAGCTTTTCCTGCTCACAGTGTTCAAATGAACACATTAATTAAACCCCTAAGAGACAACATGTAAAACTACTGGCATTAAAATGATGTTACAGGTGGGAGAGAGAGACAACCACCACCAAAGAAACACTCATTTCCGACACCTGACACACCAGAAATTGAAATAAATAGCCTGGAAAACACAATTTATTTCTAAATAAAACAAGTTTTTTATCTACAAAAAATGGTCCCAGGGTTTTCCTCCTATTCATTCCTTAGCCTTTCTTTCAATCTGTAATACAAATAAAATATGTTCTTGCTATTTCAGTCAGTTATACAGAAGGTGTTTTCCACAGTTCAGTGGCATCAGTATGAACTCTACATTGTCCTTGTTCTCTCAACTATGTTCCACTTAGACAAAGAAGAAGGTCATCTCAGGCAGGGGATGAAATATAGACCACATGCAAAACCCCAATGTTGTAGTTTAATTAAAATAATTCATTAAAGTGGTGGCCCAAGGTAATTAGCATGTATAATTTATGATTTGCTTAATGCATGCAGGCAGTGGCCTCCGCAATAAACTCAACTTAACCTCAAGTAGGGAACTGATATGGACAGGGTGCTGTTATTTACTATGTGTTTATTGTTTGGATATTTGTCAAGAGGAAGCAAGTGTTTCATAAAACCCTGGCTGTTATCTGACTCCCACTGCACACAAACAACTTATTTGTTTATGGCTTTACCTTGTGGATTTATGCTCAGTCATAAGAGAAGCTGTCAGATTTGTTCTGAAGGGGAGATATTGGGAATTGCCCTCACAAACTACATTTTGTATTTTTTGGCGGATCTGTGTTCACGGTTATCCCGCTGGTCACTAGTGTTGAAAATAGTTTACGCTGGCTCTTTGAGCTGACAGAATGAGGACAAACACCACAAGGTAGCTCCTCTTCTCTCCCACACCACACTGTCAGCGCTGACTTTTAGAAGAAACAAAATAATCAGTGATAGACACAACTTGCATTAATTATGCTTAGCAAATGTGTCAATCCTTGACAAGCCCTTGACATTTTGAAACATGGCTAGTGGCTATGTTTTATCATTTCTTGCTAGTACACATAGTTTTTTTTAAATAAAAACAACACAGTAAAACAAATATTTTCAGATGGAGCTGTGGACCATGGTAAACAGATTTATTTTAGTAGTAGACAGAGCAAAGTGGCTCTCTCCCGATGGAAGCTACTGAATGAAAATCCTTATTTCCAGACACTTAAGTCTGAGATACTATGATTCAACAAATTTGCTCTTAGTAAATCTTTCATAAGAATTTGTCAGATCATCCTTCTGTTTTATTTGACCTAATTTATTTATTTTTTTAAATGGTACAGTGTGGGAATAATAATCTACAAGAGAAACTCACACCCCTGTCCTCACAGGGCGCATCATCATTATAAGACTATATGGTTAAATCATCAGTCATAATGTGTGACTCGCAGGCTAAATACATTACATGGCTGTGTCGGAGGGCAAAGGGCAGGTATAGCTGGCAGCTGGAGGGAGAGGCTGGGGACTGCAGCGGCATTCAGGGCTGGCTCAGCCAAAACACCCATGTGTGCATGAAATTAGAGTGTCAACATCTGATTCATGCTGCTGGGTGGTGACTGTGAAACAAATTATGTCAGCGGGTGGCAGCGGCAAAATTCCACTGAGCTGCAGCAGACAGTGGCTGCGTAGAAGTTATAGCAGGCGGTAGATCCTGTTTTATAAACTGCAATGAAACTTTTTTCACGTGATAAATTTAAAGGCTCACATTCTGGCTCGTCACAAAAATGAGTGAAAAATACATTTCAAAGAACTGTGTTTTCAGTGTGTTCTTGAGCTGCAGACAGTGAAATGTAAGCTGTCTAATGGAAGTAGGTGTCGTAAAGAAGATCTAATGGTCCTAAGAAATGGGGTGATAATTGTTATTCAAGATAAGGATGCATATTGTTACAAATAGGGTGTGAGGTGCAAATGAAAGAGTTACTGCTCTGACATTGTGAGCAGCAAAACATGATTTTTATAGATAAAAATTTCCCATGGTCTTGATGTTTCGAACGTTTTTTCATTCTGTTAACTGCTTTGGGGGAGCTGAATTTAGTGTCTTAGGTTAGAGAGTTGCCTACCATATTGTACAGACTGTAAAGCCCTTTGAGGGAAATGTGTGATTTTCAGCTATGTAAATAAAACTGACTTGACTTGAGTGAAAACATTAAATAGACATTAGATTCTGCTAAGGACACTGGCTTCACAGTGACATTCACTGACATACTTTCCATTTTCATTTAACAATATGTGATGCAGCACCACGCCGTCTCTGTACATAGATAGATCTCTTGTTATTGGCTCCTGAGTGTGTGAAGTGTTGAGCAGGTTGAGACAGGGTGAGAGAGACAACCAACTCAAAGCCATTAATCAAACTTCAGGCTCCAGTCCTGTCAACCTCAACCTCCAGCCATCACATCTGACACATGACTCCCCTGTACCTCTTCTTAATTTTTTTCATCATTCACTCATTAAATTTGGGTCAGCAAATCGTTAAAATCAGTAAGGTTTGGATTATTTTTTTTCTGCATCCACATTAGTGCCTAATTCTATTGTGTTACTGATGAATCTATTTTTATTCCCCTGTGTTTCTAATTTGGCATGCCTGTGCAGGGTGGTTTCACAGCTCTGTCCCAGCTTGTCCTGTCTGGTTTAGTAAATCTGTTGCACTCGCAGGGTATTAGTTAATCATATTTATAAAAAGTCAAAAAAGTCCCTCAGTTTGACCAAATGCTTAATGGTGCAGAACCTCAGTGTGGGAAGCCAGCTAAATACAAACAAGCTCCTTTAATGAAGGTACTTAACAGATTTGACACTACAACGTTTTTGCTTCTCAAGTGCTTTAGCTCTTAGGTGTTAGAACTGTAACAGATTCTGTGGATTTTAGCAGCCCGCTATTTCCCCTTTTAAATGTGGGACGAGAAGCTCATTTATCACTTTTTCCTTGGGATCTTATCCTACCCTCTCCAGCCATAAACTAACACTTACACAGGACTTCAAAGGTGCACTGTGTAGCAGAGGTGAGAAAGGGGCCTACATCCACTTGGGGCCAGTTCCTTCCAGAGATGAGATGGAGCTGATTAGCAGGAGTGTGCAACGAGGCCCCGTGGGGCAGCAGCTGGAGGAGCACTCCCCACGGGAGCAGGGACAGGTGTGAGTTTCGACAGCTCCCGTCTCTCCCCTCTGGATACAGCAGGGTCAGGGCACCCTCTGCGGGCCCGGGCTCCGTCCTGGATAGGAAGTCAGCAGTAATTGCCATTCAGCCAGTGGGACAGAAACAGAGGCAACAATAACCAGCGAAGAACACACAGCCCGTTTCCTCTTTGTCTTGATG